TTTAGACTGTGGGCTTCAAATTATCTATAAATATTTATGTGCTATTTTAGCAAAGAGGTAGTGGCTTAACAAAAAGCTATAAATATTCGTACATCTCAACCGATTAGATTGTTCAGTCACAAGCATTATGCGGGATGCTCGATCAACATGCATTACGATTTTTGGAACTAAAATTCGATATATTTAGCAGGTTTGTTTTCGTAAATACATATATGCACTATTTTAATACAACCACATTCTACGTATCAACTGTTGATATATATAAATTTATTTCTGTAATAAGAGCAAAATTTAGAATTTTAAATTTCCAAATATTTCTAATTACCCATGTATTAAACTGCGACTTTCTGTGATCGTTCTGTAATAGCATATATAAATTTAATAAAAATTTTCTGTAATCGTTCCGTGATGGTTCGCCTAATCATAGAGATTAAGACGGCCCGCATTAAATTTTATTTGGTGTTATCTTCATGCAGAATTAATTCTCACGGTCGATTTTTTTATTAACGAATATTACGAATAATGCGAATAATGTCTAGACCCTTTTTCTTACTCTATACGAACCTGCGATAAGAATAGGACTCTGCGAAGCAGGACACTTCGTGTCTAAAAAGGCAATGAGTATAACGTTTTTTATCAGTAGTTTTGTTAAAATTCATATATTATAGAGATTTTGAATTCTCAGATCTTGGAAGATCTAACCCTACTTCTTATTTACAGAAGCGATCGTCAAATCTAAGGGGTTGAAGTTGGGTTAAACTCTGGTTAAAGTCGGGTTGAAGTCTGCACTTCAGAAAATAAACTCTCATCATCTGCATTTTTTTCTCATATTTATTAGATAAAGAAAAGCTATTAGGGCAAGTAAGCTAGATAGGTTATTATCCGCAGATTGATAGATAAAGGGTCTTCAAAATGAAAAATACAATGTCTGGTTGAACTCTGGTTGAACTATGGTTGATGTATAGATAATTTCAAGGGTATCATATGATTTGACGGTCCCATGGGTCCGCACATATAATTTATGCATAAATTCCGTATCCCCAATGGCCTCTGGAAGCCGTCAGAGTATAAACTGATTTTAATGTTTTTATATTTTTATGATGATAACGATAGCGACGTTCACGTTACTTGATATTCAGGTTTATGAGCGATAAAATCTTAACCGGCTTTAATAATCAATGGCCTGCATTAAATTTTATATGGTGTCACTCTCCTGCAGAATCATTTCCCATGGTCGATTTTTTTATTAATAACAAATATTACGAATTTATATCTAGACCATTTTCTTATTATACAACATATGATCCCGCGATAAGAATGAGACTTAAAAAGGCTATAAAAGTAATGAGTATAATGTTCTTTATCAGTAGTTTTATCCAAATTTATATGTTACAGGGACTTCGAATCTCCGCCATCTCCCGAGATCGTCAGATCTAAACCTTCCTTAAGTGATCGTTGAATCTAAGGGGTTTAATTTCACCAGAAAAATGGCAAAATGCGTTCAGTGTTTGGAACCTATGACCGAGCAGAGTTGCTTTATATAGCAGGATCTAGATAGTGTTAGGGTAACGTAATTACTAATTATGTAATTTCTCTTTTAACAGGTTTTTTAGATCTAGCGAATGAATAGTATAAAAATAAGCAGTTCCAGCTTTTAAGATGAGTAAACAATAACATTATTTTTGCACGTATATTTTTTCGAAAAAAATGTCTGCAATGAAAGGAGAACTTTCAGTTAAACTCGGTAAATAAATTCTCACATTGACTTTATTAGTAAAAGTACAATTAAGTAATAATACTTCATTGTGGGGTTGGATGACATTTACCTCACTGTTCATGATGGAGATAATAAACGTTTTGACAATGGTACACTAAGAAGTGGAGAATCCACTAAAACATTGTAAGTTGGATGATTCTCTAGTTATTTTTTCATATATATTAGTTTTTTATTTTTCGTTGCTTTGTATAATCATAAGTCAATTCAAAAAAAAATTGGACAAGACCAAAGAAAAGAAACAGGTCAATATTTAATAGTCGGCACGAATAATCCACCAATTAATCTTGATAATATTCTTGCAAACCCAGGACGTTCATACCAGCAT